CACAGAGCAAGAAGGATCATCTTCCCACTTTAACAGGAAACTGTCGTAGTCAAGAGTCACATTCTGAGGTCCACAACGCAAAACACCTAAAGGAAGTGACCACAGGACATTTTATGGTTAAAGTGAACTGAACAATTCTTCACAGTCATTGTTGGGCTATTTGAACAGCAGTCAGTGAGGACACAGCCAGTGGTGCCAATAGTGTCGTCACTGCCCGGGCATCAAATACTGATGTTTTGTTAAAGACTGTCATATCTATCTGTGCTGGTGGATGAATGAACCTACCATAGCAATCCACTTCTTAGAGCTGATGTCATTAGACATTTTCAGGTTCAAACACTACTTCAGTTCTCGAATTCAAACAATGAGCCACCAACAAAAAATTGGATATCGTATTTGAAGTACATGTTGTGTTAGCCAGTGTTGAGCATCAAGCTATGAGGCAGAAAATTGTGGTGGTCCTGTCATGTGTAATGTCCTGTAATGTAGTTATACCCATCAACTCCCATGGTAAAATACCCAATTTTAGAGCAGAAATAAGCATGTTTACAACCTGATACAAAAGAGTTTTGGCCTCTGTAAACCCCTGTAATAAACAAAATAAAATCATTTTACATTTGAGAAAAAATACATTGTTAAAGTTTACAAAGCAGGCACTGGTGTACAAAGTTATCACAGCATTTCCAAAGGTCAAAACTGGAATGAAATGTATCATTAAAATAGAGGAGAGAGAGACACTGCAGCACAAGTCTGCCAGAGGCAGGAAGTAAAAGATTTCAAAGACTCAGAGAAAGACCAAGAAAAGCTTCTCTTCTGCAGAGAGACCTTCAAGCCAGACATAAGTATGCTAAGGACACCTGGAGGAAATTACGCATAATAGCAGTATGTCCATTAGTAGATACGATGAAACGAGATCTCTTTGGCTAAATTCAATTCAATTATATTCAGTTTTATTTATACAGCGCCAAATCACAACAACAGTCGCCTCAAGGTGCTTTATATTGTAAGGTAGACCCTAGAATAGTACATACAGAGAAAAACCCAGACTGTTTGGGGTGAGAGAAGGAAGACAGGATAAAGACATGCTGTGGAAGAGAGCCAGAGATTAATAACAAGTCTGATTCAATGCAGAGAGGTCTATTAACACATAGTGAGTGAGAAAGGTGACTGAAGAAGAAATATGCAATGCATCATGGGAATCCCCCAGCAGCCTTCGTCTATTGCAGCATAACTAAGGGAGGATTCAGGGTCACCTGGTCCAGCCTTAACTATATGCTTTAGCAAAAAAGAAAGTTTTAAGCCTAATCTTAAAAGTAGAGATAGTGTCTGTCTCCCGAATCCAAACTGGAAGCTGGTTCCACAGAAGAGGGGCCTGAAAACTGAAGGCTCTGCCTCCCATTCTACTTTTAAATACTCTAGGAACAACAAGTAAGCCTGCAGTGCGAGAGCGAAGGGCCTGATTATTTAAGACCTTGTATGTGAGGAGCAGGATTTTGAATTCAATTCTGGATTTAACAGGGAGCCAAAAAAGGGAAGCCAATACAGGAGAAATATGCTCTCTCTTTCTAGTCCCTGTCAGGACTCTTGCTGCAGCATTTTGGATTAACTGAAGGCTTTTCAGGGAGTTTTTAGGACATCCTGATAATAAAGAATTACAGTCGTCCAGCCTGGAAGCAATAAATGCATGAACTAGTTTTTCAGCGTCACTCTGAGACAGGATATTTCTCATTTTAGAGATGTTGCGCAAAAGAAATGCTGCTTATGTTTGGAGAAAGAAGAAGGAGGTTACAGCTCAAGAACACTGTCCTTCTCATACAAAAAAAGACTCCCATGAAGATATCTAAAGATTAAAAGCAAAAAAAGCAAAGAAAAAAATCCATCAAGCAAGTCTTGATGCAAGCTTACTCTTCCAGGAAAGGAAATCCCAAAAAGTTGATTTTGTTTATCTGGATTGAAGCCCGAAGAAGTCACTTGAGGATGAGTAATGAAATATTTCTCCCACTGAAACGCTACGTCCAGATGAACAGAATCAACTTTTTGGGAATCCCACTGTAAAGTTGTGAGGTGAAATGAAGATGTGACCATTTGTGTCCATAATAGTAATAATAATAACAATAATAATAATAATATCCTAGAATTTTGCTCAAAAAAGCTGAAGCAGACTTCATGGAGCCTGTTAGTAAAATTAGCCACATGGCATTTTATATTTTTTGTCAGATATTTGAGTTACAAAAACCCCCAAACCCACCAACAAGAGGTCCACAATTATCGAAGCTAAAGACCAACAGATAGCTCGCAATGAGGTCTGTGCCCATCTGCTAGTCAAAACAATGTTGAAAATCCAAACTTTAAACCTTTATAAAACATTTAAATGGGTTGGTTATAAAAAATGAATTATCAATTAAAAAATCACCCCCTGTGCAGTTGTTACAAAGGGGAAATTACAGACACTACTTATGCCTTGATTCTGCATCTCAGTGGCTAATGCTCCCTGAAAACTCTGGTGAGTGCAAAGTCAACATAACCTGGAGCTTCACAGCATGTCTTTGGCTTTTAGCATACATAGTAAAGATTATTTGTGCAAACTCAGGTGTATACACAACTAAGAGCTGAAGTCTGAAATCTTCTTTACTAAAAATATCCAATCCTTTTCATACCTGAAGACTATCACAGAGGACGAAATACTTACCCTCTCCTTGTCCATCTTGCGTGCTTTGTCTGAAGAGTGAGAACAGTAGCATCCATGTGATCATGATCATCTTCCTTTGTAGACTGAGGCAATGAGCATCAGCTAACAGGTGGCTGAAAAGCATATGAAGCAAGGTTCAGGTTTTCTTTGAAGAATCAGTGCCCAAAATATCAGAGAGAAGAAGAAAGTTAGTGTCAGGTTACTCTGTGGAGCTGAGCCATTTATATAGTAATGACTGTGAGAGCCAGGTGGACCACACACAGGAAGTGGAGCAGCTGTGTGTTCTCATAACTAGGACTCAGCTGCCAGTTGGGACACGCCTCACCCACTCTGCTGCTTTTACTGGGAACTGACCTTTTAGAAAAACATCAGTCAGAGGGAGTGAATCAGAGCCAACAAACAGAATCAATCCAAACTTCCTCATCGGATTCATCCCTCCATTACACCTGCTGGAACTAGTGTTCAGTACAGTTCTTGTGCAGTGTGGCATACCCCATCCTCTTCTACCCATTTCCTTCATAAAGAATGGATTCTTGACAGCCACCCCACTGAAACCATTTCTGATGAGTCTTCAGTGAACAGCAGATGAATCAGCTGAAGGGGCAGGTGCACCTGTCAGGTGTTTGCTGGATTTTTTCCCTAGTTCTTAAGGACATGACTTGAACGAATTCTGTTCACCTGCTGTAGATAGCTTTGAGGTCTGTCACTTCTTCTTCTGTCCTCCACTCGTACAGTTTCTGCTGTTTTTTAAGGAGACACTGCACAGCATGCTGAGAAATGCCTGCCTTTTGGTTAATATCTGTTTTTTGTTAGAACAATACTATTTTATGTCTGTCTAACTGGGTTGGGTATTTTTAATAGATTCAACTTTTTAAAAAAGTGTAATAAATCGTGTGTATATATCGTGTGTATCGTGTGTGTGTATATATATATATGTGTGTGTGTGTGT